GAAGAACTGTGTTTTCCCATGGTACAAAATGAAGATTAATGATTGCACTGCTGCTGAGCACTGTCCACATCATAAACAAGAGCAGTATGCTGAAAGGGCAAAGACATAACGGCTGCCAGCCTCCACGGCCATTTGAGGGAAATTGTTTTCTAAGCCTTAGGAAATGAGCCTAAATGACTACGGGTTGTGATTATACAAGGACTCACAATGGCCTGTGCTGTGTATATAAAGGACTACCAACCATGCTAGAAACTTAAATTGAAGCTCCTTCTAGCCACGAGTTATTAAACATATAAACAAGGTAAGTGTGCATACAGGAATGAGATGAGATAAATCTCTTCAGAGTGTTGTTATGGGACTTGTGAATTGACACTCTCTCCTTCTCTTTAACGCAATGAGAATGTTTCAGATATTGTACCATTAGACATAGCACCGGCTTTTAACTTGAGATATATTCTTATTTTTAAAAAATTATGTCAGTTTCTTTCTTATTGACTGAGTTTTAAAAATTAGGAATGGATGTTGAATTTTATCAAATGCAGTCATGGAGAAAATCAAATGATAGTTTCCTCCATTTTTTGGTGACAGTTATTGATACATTCTCTAATATTAAAACATTTCTATTCCTGATTTAAAACTCATATGGTCATGGCACATTCTTTTAATCTGATACTGGACTCTATTTGCTAATGTTTTTTTTGATGCTGCATTTTTTTAAAAAAGTTTTTATCTAGATATAATTGACATATTATATTAGTTTCAGGTATACAACATAATGATTCGATATTTGTATACATTGCGAAATGATCACCACAATAAGTTTAGTTAACATCTGTCACCATACATAGAAAATTTTTTTTCTTGTGATGAGAACTTTTAAGATTTACTCTCTTAGCAACTTTCAAATATATAATATAGTATTACTAACTACAGTCACCACGGTGTACATTACATCCCCATGAATTATTTATTTTACAACTGGAAGTTTGTACCTTTTGACCCCCTTAGCCCATTTCTCCCACCTCCCAACCCCCACCTCTGACAACCACCAGTCTCTTCTCTGTATCCATGAGCTTGATTTTTGTTGTTGTTGTTGTTTTGTTTTTAGATTCCACACATAAGTGAAATCATACAGTATTTGTCTTTCTCTGTCTGACTTACTTCACTTAGCCTAATGCCTTCGAGGTCCATCCATGTTGTCACAATGGTCAGGTTGCATTCTTAGCTGAGATCATAACTCCAATGATAACAATATTCTTCTGAGAAGACAATAATTCTTAAAGCTCTGTTTCATGATTTCTAGATACGTATTTCTGAGAAATCAAGATAAACACGCACGGGGTACCATGTTGTAACGTGAACCTGGCTGACCTGTTCATTCATAAACCACCAGCTCCACGAGGGGAGGTACAAGCACATATCCTCCCCATTGTACTTCAGACTATGCAGTATGCTCGGCATACCGAGCATAACCATTAGTTGAATATTTATTTTTTATTTTATGAAACTAATCTCTTGATTCAACCTTTAACTTGCTTCACGTATTTTGGGAATAAACTTGATTTATCTACTTTTCAATTTCCTCAATGATAAAATAAAGAGGTTAGATGTGATTCAAGGTAACTTTTTAACAGGAGAGAGCCATTTGCTTTATTGAATTCTTCAGCAACCCAATACGGGAAATGTAGAGGATTGTTTGGATTGAATCCAGGAGTGGGCACAGCACCTTAATCTCTTGGCCCTTTCTCCTCAATGAAAAAATGGGAGGGGCTTAGTTGAATCTGGCTTGATCCCAGCTTACTCCAATATCTACATATCCTCAGGGGAGTCAGAGGAGAGCTCTCTTCATTGGAGAAGGTCTACGTCCCCCCTCACAGTGGTTACAGAGCCCGTGGACAAATATTAAGACCACAGCACCACAAGCTTCCTGTCCTGTATCTGTAGGGGACCACCAGGTTCCACATTTTGGGCATACATAGTCCCCCGGTATCCTCAATTCCATTTTTAGGGATTGGGTGGGAACCCTTGCCAATGTTTTATTTATTTAGTTTTTTGGTATCAAAAATCAATAAGACCGGCATGTAGTTGTTTTGTTTTGTCTTTTTAAATCTGGGATATTTCTGTTCAGTTTTGATATCAATAAATTGCTTTGTTTCATAAAAATACATTTGGAAGCTTCTTCTCTGTCTCTATGTGCTGGAATAGTTGAAGAGCATTTTGAACTTATATGTTTCTTAATAGTTTGGTATATTTCACCTGTGAAACCATCTGGGCGAAGGCACTTTTGGAGGCAGGAGTCTTCAAATACTGTTTAAGATTTCTATCCCCACTCAAGTCATTTGGTGCATAAGGTGTATTGATAGCTGTTCTCTCTTTCCAAATGTTTTATCGTTCATTTAATCTCCTTAAAGTAATTTTCCCTTTCTCATTTTTATTTTGTATATTTATCGTACTCACCTTTTTCATCATATTTAGCTATATACGAGCTAATAACTTATCTATTTCATTGTTTGTTAATAGCATCATCTCTTGGGTTAATTCATTTTTGCTGACGATTTAACTAAATTGCATGTTCATCTTTACAAATTCCTTCCTTCTGCTTTACTTAGTGTGTGTATGCGTGTGCGTGCATGTGTATGTGCGTATTTTTTCTTGCCTATTTGAGCTGAATACATACTTAGTTGATTTCATTTGTTGCTGCTGCATAACATACGCCATAGATTTTCCTCTAAGCACTAATTTAGTAGATACATTGTCCTCTGTTTTCATCCTATAATCTTGAAATAACAATAGTAACCTTATGGTATAAATATAAATGCATACAGTCATCTTCCTTCTAAAATTTTTTATTAAAGTTTTTTCATTATATTTTTCATGTTACAAACATAATAAGTGGTATCCTGTCTTTTTTTCTCTACACAGATTCTTTCTTCTAATTTTTCTACACAATGGGACATTATATTTCCTAGTCTATAAAAATTGTTTTTCCTATCATTTGCCCAATTTTCTACTGATATGCACATTTAAATAGTTTTTAATAATTTAAGTGATAATTAATAAATAAACTTTAAATAATTTTTTTTTGAAGAAGAGTGGTCCTGAGCTAACATCTGTTGCCAATCTTCCTCTTTTTTTTTTTCCTTTTTTCTCCCCAAAGCCCCTAGTACATAGTTCTATGTTCTAGTTGTAGGTCCTTCTAGTTCTTCTATGTGGGACACCACCTCAGCACAGCTTGATGAGCAGTGAGCAGGTCCGCGCCCAGGATCCGAACCAGCGAACCCCGGGCCACCTAAGCGGAATGTGTGAACCTAACCGCTGCACCATCTGGTTTAAATAAATTTTAATCACTTGGAAGTGACTTGATTTTTTTGGGTAGGGAGGGTATCTGGATGTCAATAGGATTCTCTATTTTTTAAGTCCAGTAATTTTATTAGGATTTGTTCTTGTTTCAATAGATTTGAATCTATTTCTTCCCTGGGGTAAAATTACTTTTTAAATATATAGATTATTTCACAAAATTTTTCTTAAATTATATTTTTAAATATTTTTTTCTGTTCATATTTTCTGGGCTTTCTTTGAGCGTGGAGGGAGTACACTAATTACATAGATCTTTTCTTTGTCTTATGCACATTCTTCTTTGTCTGACTTCCACGTGTGTTCTTTTCCTTAAAATCAGTTTTAACTCTGTTTCTTTAAATCTCATTTTGCTGAGTTTTCTCAAACCCGTTGTCCATTTCCTTCACTTTCTTTTCTGTGAGTCTACTACTCTTTTTTTCCCTTTGCCTGTATTTTTGGCATCTTTCTTTTTCTTTTCCATTTCTTTTCTCAACTGTTGATTTATTCTTAGTCTTTTTATTTCATCTTTTAGCTCTTTCATCTTGGCTTTGCATTCTTTGTCAAAGGGTCATTTTTTCATGAATGTACTTTTGCCTGTAGAGAACATTTTGGTGACCATCTGACCTGTCTATTGCAATCTTTTTCAAAGGGCTGATCTTCATCTCCTTCTCTGTTGGTCATTTTTAACTATCACTTTCTCCTGCAGCATGTTTCACAGACCCAATGGTGATTTGCACTTATTGTGACTGCTCACCTCTGCAGAGGGAGTGCATCTTTGCCTGAGGGGCGCTTTCCCCCGTGGTTGTTATATGGCCAGGGGTGAGCCTGAGTAGCAGGCACCCCGGTTTTCATCTTCTCCAGGGAGCACTCTCACAGCCACTCGGACTTGTGATGATGATGGCTCTGGGCTGCAGAGGATCTCTCTGGATCTCAGGGAAACCCCCACTAGAACGCACCTATCACTGCAGCCCAGCACTCCTCTTCCTTACAGTGTACCTAGCCCCCGTGTGTGGGTCTGCGTGACTCCATCTCTGTGAGCCACGAACAGCCCCTCCTCTGCCGGCCACATCAACAGACAGTTTCTTACAAAGATGGCTTTCCTTCAATCTTGTGTCCCCAAAACTCTGTGGTGTTGGGGTTCAGATAGACTCTTTTAGCTCTTTTGTGTTCTATTCTCTTTTCTTCCAAGCCAGGGGCCTTCAGTCAGCCCTCCGTGTGTGCTGTTGAGGTTGGAGAATGCCGTGTGCTCTTGGAAGTGGCAGTGTCCTCTTTCGCTTTGGCTTAATTTTCACTAGGCTTGGCTGCCATCCTGGGGATTCCTGGTCATGTTCTGGGTCATTGATATTTCTTAGTGTCTGGGAGGATGGAGTTTCCATTTCTGTTTCTCAGTCTCCTTGTTGATTCCAGGTGTAATCAGAAGTAAGGGAGCAGATAGCTATTTCTGCCATCATTTTAAGCTGGAAGTCACATCATACATTTTACATTATTGAGCAGTTCTTCAGTTCTGCCAGAAATCTCACCACCGGCATTACTTACACTTAGAGAATATTTTTGCAAATGGGCCTCATGATTTAGAATAGCAACTAGTTCAAACCTCCTTTAGGACTGATAAAAAACATTTTGCTATAAAAAAAAGTGATAAAAATAATTTTTCATTTGCTTACCCCAGTAGCTTGGTAAGCAGAAACACCCGCCAAGGGACTATCTTCTGCCCTGGCCTCCACCGTATCATTGGATTGTTGTTCTAGAAAAGAGAGTTGTAGGCTGTCGGACAAACCATTAATCTTCAACAGAAGCTCATCTAACAGATCTGCAAATTCATCCAGGTAGTAATTCTGAAGGGAAGAAAATTAGATTAGTAAATGCATTCAAGAACCTAATTTTTCTTCTTCCCTCATTTTCTGAAGCATTTCGTGGTACCAACTTTAGAAGGTATTGTGTTTTTTAAGAAAACACACTGGATCCTGGAGTCAGAGGACCTGGGCACTGGGCGTGATTCTTCACATCTAGTTGCCTCATTTACAATGTCATATACAGGTATGCACACTCGTACCTCATTCACGATGTCCTATACAAGTATGCACACAAGTGTTATGGTTCAGAATGCCTATACAAAGGACTATTAAATGGATTTAAGGGCAATAACATGTGGGAAAGTACACGATAAAGAGCGAAGCTCTATAAAAATGCACAATATCATGATTACATATCACTGGCTTCAGAACTGTACTGAGTGATGCCTAAATATCAGCCATGGAAAACAGCTGGGCATTCAGTGTGTCAATACTAGCTTTGATTTATTTGCATTCATGTCTGGGGTGACTACACTCAAACACTGCCTGTCTTCATGTTTTGGGAGAAGTTTGGGTCTAGTAGCAGGAACCAAAAGCAAATGACTAACTCTATAGGGACAGAGTGGGGTGTGTGTGTGTGTTTGTTGGGGGGAAAATAATAAATTCCATCTTTCCAACTTTACAGGGTCATTAAGGATATAATGAGTTAATGGAAGAGAATGTGCTTGGTAATCTGCAAAATGCTTTAGAATTTCTAGTAAAAATTCTATGGCTTTGCAATGACATTTGGCACAGAATTGCAAACATGCGTCAGTAGCTGAAAGCAAAAGTCTGCAATGACCATCATCTTGAATGTGCCATTGTGCTCACTAATACGAGATCCACAGCTTACATGATTCTGAACCATCTCAGTCTCTTCCAACTTTGGCCTTTCTAGTCCCAGAAGGGAGAAGGTCTTCCCCCACATGTAGGCAGTCACATCTTTAAGTCTCACAAGAGATTTGCTTGGAAAAGATTTTCTTTTTTGGCCAAGACTCATGAGGAAACCTCTCAGCTGGGGAAAAGAAAAAAAGACAAATTTCATGTTATCGGACCAAAAAAAATAGCTTTGTTAATTTGAAAGGCTATGAAATGGAGATTATATCTGATGATGCTATTTTATGACCTTTTAGTAAGACAGTAATTGCTTAGCAAAAACATCAGAAAAATATCTTTCATGAATTGAACTAAATTGCAGCAAGATGGATTCAGCAATGGAAATTAATCTTATTATAAAGGATGTTTTCAATACCTAAGAGTTGAGGAAGAAGATTATTAACATGATGTGCATTTCCATATGTAACCTCTGCGTCTCAGTTTCGGGGGCCTCTGGCGAACCCCGCAGGGCAATGGGTGGGCTCAGAGAATGCGTGCCTTTACTCATTATATAAACGAGCCCCAGGTTGTTTGTTTCTTCACTGCAGGCTGAGATCTGTTAGCTCAAAAAGCCTACGGGCACCAAACTCAAAGTTTTACACATTCAGTTGTTTTAAAAATAGTCCAAATAAGCAAAGTTTTAGCCATTTAGAGCCTGCGTTGTATACCCTGCTAAACCTCACCTGTTACCCACTGGTAAGACAGGCCTTGCAGTTACAAGACCCCAAAACGCTGCTACCCTTGGGAGTTCTCTAACCTAGAGACTTCCTGCATGCTGCTGCGTGACAAACATCCCCTGCACAGGTAAGACCCCGTTCTGACCCCCTCCCCAAGATTTCCCTCTCCCTTCTCCCCTTCTTGATGGTGACCCTGCAATGCAACCTCTGGACGGTCTCATGATGTGAGGGACCCCTCACGCAAACCTGTCAAAATGTTGCCCACATACAGCTGTGTGTGTTAATGCTTCTCATGGTCATAGCTTTTTCCTTGATCAGCCCTGAATCCTTCAAACCCCTGACAATGTATCAGAACCCCACAAGGGTGCTCAGGTACCTGAAGACAGCCCTGGTACACACAGTTGTGTGTAGGTCTGAGGCCTCCCACTCTACCGGCCACACAGCCATGCGAGCCATCGAGGCTGCAGTGACGTGACCTGACTCCTGTACTCAGAGACCCCGTGCACCACTGCCTCCCTGTTTCAGATGATAAAGTCCAAGTGCCTTAGCATGACCTTCCAGGTCCTCCACTCCTGGCTCCAAGCATCCTTTCCAACGTTACGTCTGCTTGACCTTGAGACCCTGAACTCCAGTTTGGCCCTTCCTCACGGCCTTTCCTCTTGCCCCTCACCCAAACGCTGCTCCCAGTCATCTCCACAAGCTGGTCCCTGCTCCTGCACCAAGGCCCATCTTCTGCTGTGTGAGGACTTCCTGATCTCCTCATGAAGAACATGAAGAATTTAGAACAAATTAGTCTCTATGTTTTTTGCTCTTTGAGGAAACTTCTAGTTAGGTTTCAAAATTGCATAAAATTCTGCAACATCTATATGATGAAAACACCGATGAAAGAAATCAAAGAAGATCTAAATACATGGAGAGATATACAGTATTCTGGGATTGAAAAACAATACTATTAAGATATCAATTCTCTCCAAATTTGACAAATGCATCCACAACAATCTCAATCAAAATCCCAGCATGACTTTTTTGTAGATACCAACAAGCTGATTCAAAAACTGATATGGAAAGACAAAAGAAGTAGAATAGCCCAAACTGAAAAAGAACAAACTTGGAGGACTCATCTATGCTATTTTAAGATACACTATAGAGTTATAATAATGAAGACAGTGTGGGACGGGTAAAAGAACAGATCAATGGAATAGAATAGAGAACCCAGAAACAGACCCCCACAGATACAGTCAACTGATTTCTGACAAAGATACAAAAATAATTCAACAGAGAAAGGATATGCTTTTAAAAAACGGGGCTAGAACAATTGGATATCCGTATATAAAAAACATTAACTCTGATCCATATCTTACACCTTATACTAAAATTAACTCAAAATGGACCATCAACCTAAATGTAAAACATAAAATTATAAAACTTCTAGAAGAAAACATACGAGAAAATATGTGTGACCTTGGGGTTGGCAACGCATTTTTAGACATGACACCAGCACAATCCACAAAAGAAAAAATTGATATATTGATCTTTATCAAAATTAACAACTTCTGCGAAAGACACTGCTAAGAGAATGGAAGAACAAGCCATAGAATAGAAAAACATATTTTCAAATCACATATCCAATAGAGGAAACGTATCAAAAATATAAATATTGCTATGATTCTTTGTTAATATGCAGGTCTTCTTCTATGGACTGTGAACCATATCCTAACCACTGCCTGAATATGATAGGCATTAAGTAATTGTTGAATGAATGCATGAATTAACAAATGAGTAGACGGATGGATGGATGAATGGATGAGTGAATGGATGGATGGATAGATGGATGGATGGATGGATGGATGGATGGATGGATGGATAAATGAGCAGTGAGTAGGCAGCCAGGAGCACTGAAAGAAGCAAAGGGCTCTGGTGTGAGTAGTGTCAAGGTGTGAGCTTGTGCAGTCACTTCTAATTTTACTGTATCTACTCAACTAGAAATCTGGTAGACTTTTAAGGACTGCAGAGAATTTTTACCCACTTACGAAGCTTGAATATTCAATTTGCTAGCTTGTATTGGGCTCTATATTGTGTCAGGAACTGCCCTAGAAGCCAGGCACACCAAGGGCCCTGCTGTGAACGTAGCCAGAGATCGAAGGGAAGAGAGAACACAGGAGCACAGTGCAGTAGGTGCAAGGAGGAAGCGTGTGTGGAGCCCCGTGGGAGTCAGGGCAGGGCCAGCCAGCTGGGATCTGGGGTGGTGGAGTCAGGGAGAGCTTCTGGGGTGACTCCACACTGAATGCTGTTTTTGAAGACTGTGTAGGATTTACACCCAGTGGGGCGTAGGGGAGGGACCTCGAGGGGAGGCAGTGTACCATTTACAGGGGCCCTGCGTGCCATCAGGGCTGGGTGGGGCACTGTGCCTAGTGGGACACAGAGCAGGGTTTCCAACCCCGAGTCTTCAACAGGAACACCTGGAGGATTCTGAAAATCGGGGTGCCAGGCCCCACCCCCGAAATGTGGATGCAGCAAACGTGAGGAGGAGCTGAGGAGGAGCCGGCTGAGAACCACTGAAGTAGGAGGCAGAGCAGGTGAGAGCTGAGGTGGGCATGGTTGCCAGACAAAATACAGGATGCTCATTTACATTTTAATTTCAGGTAAACAACAAAAAACTGTTAAATATAGGTATGTCTGAACTATTGCAGGGACATACTAATACTAAAAAAATTATTCATCATTTACTGAAATTTAACTGTAACTGGAAGTCCTGTATTTTTATTTGCTAAATCTGTTATCACTAAGAAGGGGCGACGGGGGGAGGTCAAGGGGAACCTCTTCCTCCATTGAAGAAATTTAAGCTGGTGAGTGTGTGTGTGTGTGAGTGACATGACTAGGTTTGCAAGTGGCAGATTGGTAGGAGGGCAGGAACCAGGGAGCCCCATTCCTAACTCAGTCCCCAGCCCAGAGAATATGTCCAATGAAGGCTGACTGATGGAGTGAACCTTTTATAAAATGGAAGGACGGAGATAAAAAGGCAAGGGAGAGCCTGCAGCAGCAGCAGTGTGAGATGGTGTGAAATCAGGTGCATAGAGAGACAGAAATCGCTCAGTGCTGCGAGGGCCCCGGAGGCGGAGGCGGCAGCACCATAGAGTGGTTGACTGTCTTGCTGGAGCTGTTCCAGGCTATGAAGAGTCCAGGCGACTGTGTTCAGCCCCCGCCCAGTGCAGGACAGCTGGGCCTCAGGGAGTCGTGACCGTAAAGATTGGCCTGCAGCGTGGACCAAAGAGCATTTCACCCTGACAGCATTTGAAACTTTTGCAAACCTGACTTCAAAGTCTGGAATGCGAGCACATACCATTCCAAACCATAGAGTGGTCACTGCTATAAAAAAAGCCCCGTAGTACCAAGCCATGTCCCGCCGGTCAGACTTGGAAAGGCCAAGGAATGTGGGTCTTTGGCTTCTTCCTGGAAAATGAACCAGCAGCCCGTGGAAGGAGTCTGCAAAGATGCCAGACGGGAGAGCCCGGGTGGAGAGCAGAAATCCGCACAGGTGGATGTGGGCAGCCAGCATCAGGACCCCCACCAACTGCAGGGAGAAAAACCCATGACAACTGATGTGTGGGCACTGGTCCATGGGAGCCCAAGACTCATTTCTAAATGCTTTAAAATAACGAAAAGCTTGGAGAAGCAGTTTTTGGAGTGTTGATCATGTCATCCGGATTTAAGAACCAATCCCCAAAAGGCCTGTCTCCATCTGGTGCACCCTGTCTGGGTCCCTGCTCCTGCCCCCGCCCCAGTGTCCTCCACACCAGCTCTGCTCCCCCCAGTTTCAGGGGCTCAGGTGTCCAGCGTCCTTCTCTCCTCCTCTGCCTTCCACCACCAGCGGCCCCTCCTCCCTGCCCTCTGCACCCTGAGCTGCTGGAGGCTCAGTGAAATAAACCACTTAAGAAATGACGGGAAAGGGCAATTTTGAGTTCACGTGAGTTCAGGCGAAGTGGTCTAGTCGTTATAACAGACTGGGAACCTGGCCTGGAGCGTCAGGGCTGTATCATGGGCCCAGGATATATATGTTGCCCGCACCATCACCCAAACAAGCACTGGTGCCAACCAGCATTTTCTCGCCTACACAGCAGACCATTAGCCAGTTGTCAGAGGTCCATATGGGTCCGTGCTGCATGTGGACCGTCCATCACAGGGCCCCCCCAACCCCAAGCTGCAGCTATAGCCGTGCACTGCGTCCCCCAGAGGTCCGCACTAGCCTCCATTGCCATTGCTCCTCACCCTGGCCCTGCACCCAAGGCCTCCCTATGAATACACTGGAACTCACTTTAGTATTATTTACTCCCCAAGGGGAACTGCACACCATCAGTGGACCCAGAAGCAAGAAAACAACCCATGTTGAGTAATCAAGCTATGTGGTTCCCTGTCCTCCTTTTAGCCCCTGTCCTTATGCATGCATAATTTCCAAACAGTTGGAATGCTGCTAAATTTGGACACGGTTTATTCACATTCCAGGCTTTTTCCTTAACAAAGAGACATTTTTGCATGTTGCTAAATGGTATAATAATGACCGGTTTAACAGCCAGATAAGTTCCACATACACATAATCTCTAAGCCCCGTAGTAACATTCCAGGCACACACCTTTCATACATTTCTGGAAGTGCGAGTTTGGTAGCCGGCCATGGTTCCCACACTGGGTTGGGGAGAGGTACAGCCGGGGCCTGAACCCAGGTCTCTCTGACTCCCTGGCCTGCTCTTTCTGTCCCGTGTGCTGGGCCTGTCCCACCAAGCCTAAGGCCAGTAGGGTTTGGGGATCTGTACTTGGTTCCCACGTGCTCTGTGAGAACCAGAGCCTGCAAATCAGGCCCCCTGGCCAGACCCTCCCTCTGCCCTGATGACCATCTGCTGTGGAGGCAGAACTGGGTTGTACTGGAGCCTGCTGGGCTGGAGCAAGATCTTTCCCCACTGGGACCGAGTCGGACACTCCCACACCCCAGGAACTTTGTCAGGGCCACAAGCAGGACTCTCGCCTTCCTGATTCCAGGCTTCACCCACCCAAGCAGACTTCAGGGCCAGCCCTGGACTGAGGTGGGCCCCTGGATTGGAGCCAGGCTTCCCAAGAACCCGTGCCTACAGGTAAGCACCCATATACCTGCTTTCCCTTACTTTTTCCTGATTGTGTTGTCTTTCTCCTGAGTCCCACTGATGGTGTGCAGTTCCACTTGGGAAGTAAATCATACTAAAGTGAGTTCCAATGTATTCGCAGGGAGGTCTTGGGTGCAGGGCCAAAACTAGGAGCAAGGGTGATGGAAGCCAGTGGCGACCTGTAAGGGACACAGTGCGTGGAGGGAAAACCTAAGTACCCAAGGGTTAGGGCCTTGTCACTGCTCTTAGCTCCTCGCTTCTTCCTCTAGAAAGGAACCAGGACTGCCTGCAGCATGGTTGTGGTAATTAACTGAGGTAATTACATGAGGCCCCACGCACCATTCCTGGCACTAAGAAAAAGCTCAACAGGTGACAATAACTACTCACGTTAGTAGTAATAATAATATGCCACAGGAAAGCGTAAAGCAGAGCAATGTTTAATCAATCATGGCTACTGCTGTCCTGGCCATAACTCATTATATAACTAGGGATATCAGCAACCTAAAACCACCCCGTAATGGGTAGAAGAGTGGAATTCTAGATGCTGTTTCGCCTTGAGAAAAGGCCCAGTGAAGAGAATACACTGGTTGTATCTGTTTACTGGGGAGGTCACTTGTAAAGGGGAGAATTCTTACCCCTGGTGCAAAGATGCTAGAAAGCGAGCGGCACATCTTGAAGGAGCAGGACATCACTGTGTTTTGAATGCCAGGGAGATAAATGCATTTCAGTATCAAGAGGAATGAAAGGATTCCCTGGAGCCATCTCGCCTTCTGTGACAGAAGAACATAGCAGTTCAGTGCGTCATACCAACTATAGAAGGTGCACAGACGTATTCATATCTGTGGGCCACGCACGAGGGAAATGGGCCGCAGGTGGGCATTGGATGTCACAAGTTCTAGAGACCACGAATCTCCAAGGGACGGTCAGTGTCGGATGTCTGCAGGGGAGGCTGGGTCAGAACAAGGAGTAAGTACAAGTTATAACGCATTTTCAGAAAGACCAGGTCTAAATTCTGACCTGGCCATTTCTAGAAAGATCAGGACAGCTCGGGCCTGCATTTCCCTCATCTGAGCCTCAGCTTACCGAGCTGTAAAGATCACCCCCCACAGACGGGGACCTGGAAAACATTCAGTGCTGTTGATTGCCTCCCCTCCCTTTATAAGCACAGAATATGTTACAGGTTAACAACACTCTTCATGCACATATTTTTTGATTTACTCTTTACAAAAACTAAAAGCACTCCCATTTTTTACCTATGCAGTCTATGGTTCAGATATACAAGATGACCAAACAGAAGCTGCCTCACTGAAGAAACAGCAGACCGAGTTCACACCCGGATCCCGGGTTCACACTCAGCCTCCCGACTCCATGTCCCACACGCCTGTCCACACCCCCACAGGTCCTCCAAAAAAGCCGTTCACCTTTCTACAAGTGGGCTCACCGGAAAAGCACTTTTGGGTGTATGATCTCATCTACTCTCGCCAAGATTATGTCAGAAAAAGAAATGCAAGCCGGATGTTTTAAAATCTACATGGGCAAAGGACTAAGGCTTTTTATTTTGTTTTCTCATCAATTGGAGCAAGGTCAACAACGGCCTCTGACAACCGAAACCAAGACGGGTCGTCTGTTCTGTGGCACCCCTGGTTCCCTGCAAAGCGAGTGGGCATGGCCGAGCCTGGGGAAACTGGCATGGACTGGCTCTAGCCAGCACCGACCTAGAGAGAGCGTTCGAGCTACAGGTAGAGTGGGAAATTTTCTAGTTGCCACAATTTAAAAAGTCAATGTAAACAGGTGAAATTTATTTCATAGTATATTTTATTTCTAAAACATTCTAATTTCTAAAACATTATAATTTCAACACATATTCAACATAAAAGATTTTATTGAGATATTTTAAATTTTTAATTTTCATACTAAGTTTACAAAATCCAGTGAGTATTTTACACTTTTGGCACATCTCTAGTTGGCCTAGCCACATTTCCAGTTCTCAAGAGCCTCATGTAGCTAGTGGCTACTGCAGTGGACAGCTGGACAGCACAGCTCTCTGTGCAGAGTGGAAGGACCCCTTTCCTGCCAACACCTGATTTAAGGAATGGCATAAAGACTGCTTAAGTTATTATAACTTTCATTTACAGAACATTCACCATGCACCACGTTCTGTGCTTGAGGGATCTGTGTGTATGTCCACGTTTGTGCAAAGACGCACACACTCGGATCCTAACAGAACCCTGCCAGTTATGTATCACGGCCCCACCTTATAAAAGCTCAAAGCAGGAGGCTAAAGGGAGCTAGGCCCGGGTCTCAGGGCAGTGCATTTCCCTGTCAACACACTCAAATTTATAGCCTCTGCCCCGTGTGTCCAACCCCAGCATTTGAAAATCACTCATTTTGTCGTGAGGACACCTCATTTTTCTAGCACCTGGGAAGCAGCTTCAGCGAACTTAAGACAGAGCTAAAGTCCCTCTGACTGTCTCTACGGAGGCGCCCACAGAAGTGGAGTCAGGAGGGAGAGCTGCAGGGGGGCAGGGCCGAGGTGCCAGCATGGAGAGGGGCTAACCGTCTACACGGCACACTTCCCGAGGGCTGGCCCTGGGCACCAAACAACACAGCCACAGAACTGAAGAGCTCAAGCCACAGGCTTCAGCCTCACACATCCCTGGGCCAAGACACGGTGGACAGCGTCCTCTGAGGGCCCGTCCATTGCATTAGTGCTCAGAGCTTAGGCATGTGGCTATTCAGGTCCCTGAGACCAGGGGCCAGTTCCAGTTCTGCCCCTAATTAGACACGTGTGACTTTGGGCTAGTTGCTCCACGTTTGTAAAATGGGTCAGATATGAATGTTTGTTTCTTTAGATGGGTGTGTAGCTTAACGTACATGTGTATATGCAAAACTTAGAACAGTGGCTGGCAGGTGCAAACTTTCGTACGTGTTAGCTTTTTCTCAGAAGCTAAGGGAGGAGTCAGAAATTGGCATTTGGCCTAGACAGAATCCTCAGGGAAGAGGGGATCTCCCCAGGAAAGATTTGGGGGCAAGGAACAGGATGAGAAAGACTAAACATCAGTGAAAAACTACTCCATGTCATGAAAGGCAAACTCTTTTCCCACAGCCAGAAGTCAGGAGGACCACCGACCGTTCACTGCGCGTTCCCAGGCAGGTGTGTTAGACCACACTCATTTTTGCCCCGACTGTGATCCTTCTAGAAAACCTCCCGTACCCACATCCATGAAAAGAGCACCCTACAAAGTGTTTCACTCTGTATACCGCCCCCTTCCCAAGGCCGGAGCCCACTGATCAGTGATCAATCAGATGCTCTCGTAAGCCAGGCACTGAGAGAGCGAGAGCCGGGCACCAGCCAGCAGTCGTCTGAACGCAGGCAAGGAAAAGCCGGGTATCGCAGCCACAGTTAGGGGGTGGTGGAGACCATGGCCAAGCCAGAATCCAGATAGTAGGAAAAGGGCAGACAAGCGCAGACACACGGTGAAGCGTAGACCAGGAAGCCCGGCGTCACCTCAGAGAGCGATGCCCACAGACAGTCAGGAAGCAGCTCGTCCCCTCCTTCCCTCCTGGAGCTTCCAGCCTTGCAGGGAGGTCAGTACAATGTAGACTGTAGTGGATGCTGGTAAGTGCATGAGGACAGGGGATTAGGAAGTGGGGGGAGGCTTGAGGAGGGGGTGGCATTTAATGGAGACTTGAAGGAGGAGAGGGGGATGTGATGTATGCCCGGTCTGTGCTCAGTGTCAGGACCCAGGAGATCCTGCTGAGCTCAAAAGCAGTTTGAGTGTGAAGCTTGACATCAGGGCTCTGCCTGCACAGCTGCCTTGCAGCCCGGGAGGGCCCAGGGATGTATTCACAAGCCTGTAGTTTTAGCAACATTTGCATTGTAACAAAGAACATTGTGTTCTTTTTCTTAAGGAGAAAACCCAGGTCCTCCCCTGCATGGGCTCCTTCAGAGTCTTTCTTTCCCCCTGGGATGGTGGGTCTCTGTTGCTTGCAACAAACCCATCTCTGACAAAGAGAGGGGGACAATGATTAGCCAGGAAACATGACTGGAGCTTCGGTGGCATTAAAGAACAGAAGAGTGAGCAGCCATAGCGTGGTGCCCCCTCCACGGGTCTCCACAGAGCAGACAGAGCTGGGTCAGCAACAGATCGCAGAATAACCTGTTCTTCTAGGGTGTTCTGGACCAACCCAGCCCTAGGGTGTGAGGTCATTCTGGGTCTCTGCAGGCCTGGGGCCCTGGTCGCTTCCCACAGGGTGGAAAAGGGAAGTCCCAGGAGACCTGTGGAGTGGAGGAGGGGTTGGCTGTGAGGGACACACAGCAAGGAAGCCGGATATGTGGTCTCCACTTCCATACATCCATGCAGAAGGAAGTCAGGCTCTGCATGGGGCTGACAGGTTGTGGTGGAATCCCTCTCTTGCTACCACAAAACTCCTGCCCAGGCTTGCCCAGCCCCAGATGTGCACGTCTGCACTGGTCCTCTGACAGAGCTCCCCAACCCCGCAGGGACCCATTCCCCTGGGGCAAGGGCCACCAGGGGGAAGGGAGGTGCAGGACTTTTAAGCCCAACTGTCCCTGGGACCTGGGTCTCCCCTGAGCCTCAGGGTCTTCACTTGTAGAGAGGGGCTAACACCACCTGTGTCCAGGACTGTTGAAGAGAGAAAACAGACATGATGTGTCTAAGCAAGTCCATACCTGTCCTTCCTTTATGTTGCCTCAAAACCTGCTTCCTTCTGCCACTCAAGGTCACACAGAGTCATGGGAGCGATGCCCTGTTCTTGAGTTCTGCTCCACACGGATTACATGCACCCCCAGCTTGCAGCGCATGTCCTAAGGATTCCAGGCCCTTCACTGCCCAGATCACCTTCGTTTGCAACCTCAGAGCATTATCGCTCAATATGGGATGAATCTCTCATCTCAAACCTCAATCGTGTGTGACCTCTTCCTCTGGGCAGCATCACAGAGCATGGCTCCTATATGTGTTGCCCTGAATGGCCTGCCATACCTGATTCCATGATGCCATATGACTGAGGTCTGCCAACCCTTGGAAAAACCCTTTGTGGAACTGGTCGGTCACCTCCCCAGCAAGAGTACCCAGGTGTCCGGAGGATGCGTAGTAGGCGAAGGCCACTCCAACTATGGAGAGCTGCAACGTCAGAGAGAGAGGCCATCAGACAGGTGCCGAGGACGGGCTCACATGACTCCCCCATGACATGGAGTGCAAATTAACTGCACGAGCTCTAAATGCACACTGATCTCAAGTGCAATTTTGGCATTAATAGGATAGAGGGAGAAAGCTGCAATAAGGCTGGAATTAGCTAGTGCATAATCAATTTCCCACTACAATTTTTTTTTTTCAGATAAGGACTTTGTTATTATTTTTCGTGAAGAAAATGACATGAGAGGCTACCTCCAGCCAGCTTCTCGGTTTTCGCCAATAGTTGCGGACGCCCTTCTCAGTCATGCCGTAGAGTTGAAAACAGAGGTGAATCAGGTTGAGCACCAGGAAGACCAGCTGATGGATGGAATATCAACAAACAAGATGAACAAAAATACTGATAAATTGTTTTCTGGAGGTCTAAACTCCTGGCTGGCTCCCCTGCCAATCACCTTTTGAGTAGATAGGATACAAGCTAACTCCTTGCTCTGCAGAGCTCTGATGATAAACTTGCTCTCTGCAGGCACTTGGGGCAGTCTGTACCTCTTTATGCAGCCAGCGGCTCTCATAGAAACCCGACCCCTGGCCAGGCATAAGGGACACAGACGAGTTTGTGATGGGCCCTGCATGCATTGAAACCCTGGAGTGGGAATATTGCACAGCTGCCTAGCAGGTCTCCATGCTATGCCCAGCCCTTCCCAGTCCTTCCTTGCAGTGCTCGAAAGAATGAGTTTTCACATATTTGTGAAATATATATATTATCAATTTCCTCAGCCAAGTAAAACCTTTAAAAGCTCCTATATAAAGAATTTCTGAAAGTTCTGTTCATTTTATTTAATCATTGATGAGCTACCCATTCACTCATGCCTTCAGTCATTCATTCAGAACAAGCAGGGAGACGATGCTGAGTAGCAGTGGGAACTAAACCTGTCTGAGGTCAAGGCAGCCTCGCAGAGCTCCTGTGGATCCTCCTGTTAACACTTTTAAGCTAAAAAAGGCTCTTTTGGGATCCTCCTCCCTCCCTCCAGGGAGTGGTGCTGGCACTTATTCAAACTGAAGAATGAGGAGGCTATACTGAGTGCCAACTACGCATCGGGCACTGCCTCCCCATGCCCAGAACAGAATGCGAGTAACTACCTCAGAGAGGAAAGACTGAAAGGAGATCATACGTGTGGAGAGCATTTTGTGAACCACAACCACGCTGGAAACACTAATCTGAGGTTATCACAAACAACCGAGACTATCCTGTGCGCGCCCAACCTTCCTGCTCCCACCACCCCCAGCTCACTTTTATAAGGCGCTGCGTGCCTCTTTGATGATCACGAACCCAAACTCAGATCTGATCATGAACTTAAGAGGAACTGAAGCATGTCAGCGGGGGCTTTACACAGTCCCTTCTGTCTTCTTTAAGAGTCACGTGCACTTTAGGAGTCGTGATAGGCCCGCTATCAGAAGTTACAAACAATCCAAGCAAAGTTCATTGTTGGTGGTTAATGCGAAGGTGTTAACTGCAATGCTGTGCCAGGCCACACTGGAGCCCGCGGCAAAAGGAAAAGCCAGTAACGCTGATCTTGCCTTTGTTCAAAATTGTGATATTTTTTCCATCATGAAATTTTTTGTATGAATTCTGATTTTCAAAAATATTGCACTAGAATATTACTTACCTTGATGACTGTTTTGACACCCCTAAATCTGGTGCCCAAGGTGAGTGCCTCACTTGCAGAGCAGCCCATTCTCCTCACCTCCCCCTCCCTTACTGCCACACACACCAGCTCTGAGGCTCCTTTCACAACCCCAACCCCCCGTGTCACTCCACAGTCCTGGAGTCTAAGACCTCATGGCATTCCCCCCTCTTCACTCCCAAGGCAAAGCATGCTCTACCTAGAGCATCAGCAGGTCTTAGCTATTCACAGCAGAAAAGTGAAATACAGGCAAAAGTCAGCAAAGCTGCTGAGGACAAGTTCAGAATGACTTCTGGTGCTTTCCATATTTCAGTGAAGCTATAGGAACATAACATCTTACTAAGACCCATAGTAGTAAAGGTTTATTCCCCCCTGCCAGCCATATGTTAAAGCCTCAACCCCTAATAGGATGTTATTTGGAGGTGAGGCCTTTGGGAGGTGACTAGGGTTAGATGAGGTCATGAGGGTGGGGCCCCTATGGTGGGATTAGTGTCCTTATAAGAAGAGGAAGAGACACCAGAGTTCTCTTTCTCTCCCAAGTGAGGACACAGCAAGACGGCGGCCATCTGCAAGCCAGGGAGAGAGCTCTCACCGGCACCCCACCATGCTGGCACCTTGATCTCAGCCTCCAGAACTGTGAGAAATACCCAGTGTATGGTATTTCCTTGTGGCAGCCTAGCTAGAACCCTGGAAAGGATGTGGAAACCAATCCTCCTATGGTGAATTTTGTACATGGAGATAGCTCTGTATTTGCACTGGCCACATGTATGTGTCAGGTCCCCACCAGGGATCTTCTTCCTCTTGTGCCCACACCTAGTGGGCCACCTGCCACGTGACAGGGTCATGGTAGGGGCACAGGTGGAGGGCGGGTGGATGAGTAGGCACGAGGCCTGTCTGGTGGGGGGCACCTAGACCTGGATGAAGCCCCTGTGCTCTACAAGCAGGCTGAGGGGCTGGTGAACTCACCTCGGGAAGTATGAGGTGGTACCTCGCTGAGTTGCTGCGGAAGATGTGGAAGGACTCCACCAGGGAGGAGAGGGCGAGCCCCCCTGTGGGGAGCATCTCAGCACTCAGGGACACGCTCGAGAAGAGTCGGGTTGGAGGGTTATAGAGGGTGAAGTGCACCGAGACGGCCCTGGTGCTGCAGTTGATCCATCTGCTGGCCCTGAGCCTGGCCAGGGCTGCTCGGGCTGCGGGCCTGCGAAACAGTGCAAGTCAGAGGGGAGAAGGCCTTGAACGGAAGCCTCCAGCCCCAGGCCCCACACCAGGATGCCTGACACAACCCCTGGGTTCACAGGGCTGGACAAGTGGCCCCTCTGTGTCTTCCGACCCCTCAACAGTCCTCTGTCCCTCTTTCCTTGCCCAGGACCCCAGCAGAGGGAATTCTGGAGAAAGGAGGCATTCCGTTTCCCATGGGCACAATAGGGGGAGAGGTGCCCATCTCTCTGCGCAAGGACTTTAGAATTTTTTTTTCCTGCAATGGACTCCATCGTTGGAAAGAAGCTATCTTCTACCAATCTGTATTTAGTAAAATTTTAACAATTTCCCTTTTTTGTTGTTAGTATTAGTCAAAGGCATACATTATTGTAACTGCCGCAGAGCTCCCTGTCAGTCCCAGATAATCAGTGTCACCACCGGTGTTGGCACAATCACCCCAACTTGGGCCTTGCACTGCCCCCACTAACCAGGAAGGTGGCGAGGGGGCAGTGCCACTGGTAGGTTGGGCCGGGCTGGCCGACTGCGGACCGTGGCTGCGCCATGGGTGCCGACTCTGCTTGAGCCTCTGTTCCTTATCTGCACGGTGCAGGACGGGAGTGGGGCTGGCCCTACTCCACAGAGTCGCACGAGGACTAAAAGAGGCCCTATAAACACCCTGCTTAGCACACGACAAATGTTCATTAGGTTCCGTGATCTCCGGACCTTCTAGCAAATTCTGAAGGAATGTTTGGCTTTGTCTCTTCTCACGCACTTAGAGACTGAAGGCCTGACTTTCCGTTTTACTTCTGTCGCAGCCTAACCACGTGGCCCCGGGCAAGCAACTCCTGTCATCTCACAGTAGTAACAAGCCTTGCTCCGGCCCTAGCAGTGGTGTGGCACCTCGCATCCAGCCAGCACCGTGCTGGAGGAAATGACAGGCTGTGGATGAAGCTGACCCTCCGAATCACACTGACCTTGTCCTGCCCAGGCTGAGTGCACAGTCCTCCCTGCAGCCCCCGGGGCCACTCGGGGCCACTCCTTCAATCTCTGGGTCTATCATGGAGGGGGATTCAGGGCTTCCAACTGTGGGGCTAGGTGTAGGAAGAGAGTCTTCAAAATGCCCTGATGGTGGGCTGGGAAGCTGTGGGAGAAACCACGGATTGGAAGAAGAATCAGATGCACATTCCGAAGTCCACCCCGCATCCTGGGGTTTCCAAGCCCTGGCACACGCCAGGCGCATATGCTGTCCTGAAACATGGCCCCCTGCTCCCTCAGAGCCCTCTCGTGGTCTCCGGGCTCTAGCCTGAGCCAGAAGGATCATGGCTCCACCACACAAAGGCTGCACCTGCGGCACCTACCAGCCTGGGCTGGGATGTCAACGGGTTTCCATCACTGGATGGTACAGTAAGTGCCCATCTTTACAAACACCCCCCTATTTGGAAAAGGTATGTGATACTCTAATTTTAGATACTTTAGATGGAAATATCCTGGTTTTGCATAGAAAGCCAGGATAGGAAGAGGATTTGGGAAAGAGTTTGGCGAGACGAGAAGGGAAGGAAGGCAAAAGCCCAGCTCTCCTACCCATAGCTGATGATTCACATCATAGGCAGGCTCTCTCCCACAGGAGAGTAAAACGGTCTGCTGGGCTCCTGCCCAAAGATCTCCTAGACTTTTCTAATCCAGTGTATTTTTAGAAGTACAAAGGAAGAGAGCATCTTACCTCACATAAACTACCAAGAGGAACTTTCATCTGTTTAATGACTGAAGGGCCTATTAGGTAGCACTTTCCTCCAAGAGCTCCAGGCTGGAAGAAGAAGAAAAATGAAGGTGCCTGGACATACTGCAAACCTAGAACACCATCACCCAGCAGAGCTAACAAGTGGTGTGCTCTGGCTAGCTTTAGCTACCAGATTCGAGGTCAGGCCTTACTTTCCTTTTAAAGCATTCTAAGGACTTGACAACACTCTCAGAAAGACACAGCTGCCTCCCCGGTCTTTGCACCAACTCAGAATGATCCCTTTTTATCTTTTTCTAAAGTTTCTCGAGTGTCAGCCAAGGCAATTATAGAGAATACAACAAAAGTAGAATTAGATGTGAAGTGTTTGAGGAATGCAGAACAAAGTCATTTTATTATTATTTTTAAAGTGGAAAGTAAAAGTTAAGCAAAGAATGGGGTTATCACACAAAATGCATATTCACTAGGAACTTTTCTTCAGAATGTGGGACAAGTCTTGCTCCTGCTAGAAGCTTCCTGGATGCTGCCATCTTACCCGTGTGCTCCCCCTCTATTGTCCCCGTGTCACAGCATATTGCACAGTGAACCAGCCTTCCACCCCCACTGGCCCAAGAGCTCCTGTGGCCCGCCACACCCCTGCAGCCAGCTCTGGCCTGACAGACGCAGGAACGTGGAGGAGCTCGTGCCGCTAAGGGGGTGGAGGAGATGGGGCAAAGGCGTGTGGGGCAGAGAAAGGAACAGGAGCTCTGTGGCCACGTGCACCCACAGCGGACAGCCGCTGGCCTTGCAACCTAGCGATCATTCAAGAGACCACACAGCGTTGCAGCTCAAGTATTTTTGATTATTTCGCCCCATTGTGACACAGCTTTTCTTTGCCAACATCACTGTGAGGAGCAGATGGAAACCCACCTGAGCACCCAGCATGCCAGCCGTAGAAGAGCTTTCCTGGTACAGGCCATCTAGCAGTGTGGTCAGGCTCCAGTCCCACCAGTCATCCATGCTTCTCAGGCCACCCAAGAAACTCCGGGCATTTCTTGAGGCAAGAACAGAAATAAAAAGTTATTTTTCTTCAATATAAATTTCAGGTACTCTGCAGGAATGACAGGAATGACACCAAAGCCATCTGCAGTGTGAGTTACAAAACCCTAGCATGCACTTTGCTCCTTACAGCAGGCGAGCAGACAGAATAGTGGATTCATTCCACTAACAGTTCATTCACTCAACAAACGTTATTGGACAATGACTATGTGCCGGCCACTCTTCTAGGCACTGGGAAATTAGACAATCAAATCCCTGCCCCCTTTTTGGAGAAAGAAGCAAACAATAAATAAGCAAAACATATACTATGTTAGTAATAAACATTAAGGAGAGAAAACTAGGCAGGAGAGACAGACAGAAGTGGTGGAGTAGGCAGGTGGAAATTTTAGTTCAAGTGGCCATGGAATACGTCAGCACACAAGGTGATCTTGCAGCAAAGACCCGAAGGCAATGAAGGGTTAGCCACAAGGACGGTCAAGGGAGGGCGTTCCAGGCGCTGGGGGGGTGGGTGGCGGGAGACAGTGAGACAAACACCTGGAAGGCACTTGCCTGGGAGGGTAAGAAAGGGTGTGGAGGCCGTGTATCAGGAGCGGTGGGAGAGGAGCAGAAGAGCCAGGAGCTGGGACCCACAGGCAGAGACAGAGTCCTTTCTCCACACTACTGCCTGTGGCATGGCATTTATCCTTTCTTTCCCCAGCCAAAAAATCCCCAGACCAACAGCAAACCCCTGCCTCCCAAGACGGCTGTGAGCGTTAGATGAGAAGGCACAGAGCAAGTGCTGTTGGCTCATGGTAGGGAGTCAACTAGTGTAGTCTGTTTTCTTTTCAATTAACTTATTTATTAGGCCTGTTAGATATTGGTTTCACTTTCCAACCAGGAACTGATTTAAGAGAGCACTGAAATCATTTCAAACTGACAAAATTGATCATTTTAGCTTGCTCAGACAAGGCAATAAAGCCACACGCACAGGCCAAGGCTGCACGCAGCAGCATTAGGAGCATACATGTTTGGCTCCTAGCTGCAGACAAAGGGAAAAGGAAAAAAATAAATTTCCTCGGAGAAAGAAAAGTACTTCTCACCTAGCTCTAAAAATCTTCCTCTCATGTGGCTTCGCACTAAGGGACACTGAGTAAAGTCAAGGATAGTTTGCTCATCAACATCCCCACGGCAAAGAGAAGGGGTTGATGTGGCTCTTTCAACCAGGTCTCTCTCAAAAAGGGAAGACCAAAGTACTTTCGAGGGAAAATAATATTGTTGGAAAGCAATAAGAAGTTAGAAAGAGACATAAACTCAAGTCATCCAAGTACACCCAATTTTAATTGTCCTGCCTGTTTCAGCACCCAAATCCAGACCACGTCAAAGAATGGCCGACTGTGAGTTCTTCAAGTGGCAGCATGGTTAAATGTGGTTAGCGTAGTTAAACTAGACTGGAGAGCAAAGTGGAGCTATCCTCAGTGGGGTGCCAGAGTAGCTCCAACCTGCTCTCGAGAGTCAGCCGTGCACATCTCTTCCCAGCTCAGCGCTCAGTGACGTCCCGTTGGTAGTGTGAATCAGACCACGGTGGGAGTATCTGCACCACAGAGGGTGGCGGGCACACACTAGAAATCAGTGCTTCTGTTCCCACAGAGCCCGCTGTTAAACCATTCCCAGCACACCATGGAGACTACGTTACAGGCAAGCGTGGGCAGCAGATACTCAGTGCTGACCGAGGGCAGATTTTGGAGATAAATTAGAAGTGTTTCAAAACCTGATAGTCATCATAGTTGATAACACTGTATCGTATAATTGAAATTTGCTAAGAGTGTAGAACTTAAATGTTCTCACCAAAAAAAAAAAAGATAAATATGTGAGGTCATGGATGTGTTAACTACTTGGGAGGAATCATTTCACAATGTATCAAGTCATCACAATGTATACTTTAAATAACTCACAATATTGTTTGTCAATTATACTTCAATAAAGCTGAAAAAAAACCACTGGTATTCATGACAAAAACTGGATACTATAAACAGGAAAGAAATCAAAGACAAAGAAATGTTATGTCAGTGATATGTTAGCAATATGTCAATAATGTATAGATTAATAGAGAGAAGCAAGTAATCTCAACCAACAATTTATACAAATATGTTAAATGGTGTGTGGAAATAAATGTGTGGAAATACGTCCACGGTGTGTGGAAATAAAAGTGTGCTGAGCTAATTTATCTTACTGGATTTGCTTCCTTACAGAGGGGTCATCTCCCATCCATTCATGACCTTGAGCTTTCATTGGTTTATACATTTTTAGAGCCTAATCTACGCATGCCTTTACTGGGAGCTGGCTACCAACTCTCCACACTGCTCAGAAACCTTGGTCAAACTATGTGTCAAATTCAGAACAAGCTGGAGACCTGCTGGAGCATCCAGACGGTGGGGTAAGGGAAGAGAGAGGCACCCAGGAAAGAATACATGAGGACACGGAGACGGAGACGGGAGGCATGAAGGAAGTAGACACAGCCCTGCGAATATTCACAAACCCATTTAGGGGAAGGATAAGAATGGAGGAATCAGCAAGGCAAAGAGAGAGGGAGCAAGGGGAGAGAGCAGAGAGGTGAGGATGATGGCTGATTTTCAAGAGTCGTAATGATCTGCTCTGGGAAGCAAGACTATGTGACAGACAGACTGTACATTTATAGACTATTATGCTCCACAGTCTGCATTTTAACACCTTTAAAGCCATGTTCAGTTTGTACAATTGGGGGGGAAATATTATCACTTCCCGACAGTTGCTCCCTGCTGAGATGACATTAAAGAGACCAAGTCAAGAAAGACTTGAATGTGACCCAGAGACAAGCGTCCCACACCCAGACTGTGTATGTCTCACACGTTGTTTGTGACACACTTGAAGTGCGGGTAGTGAACCAAACAACTCAAGAATATTCTCCTGCTGTATTGACCAGAGCAATTCAATAAAACAGGCCTACAAAGCTAGCTCAACAATGCAAACGACAAAATCAGCATTTATTTTCCTTTTATGGCCCTTGGGTGGAGTGACTATTTCATTTATTGGTGCTTTGTTTGGTGGTTTATATTTGTTTTACTTGGAATTTCATAAAGACTTTATTGAGCTCAGAAAGACCTTAAATAAAACTTAAATACAACGGAATCCAATAACATGATAATTTTTGTTAAGACACAAGAAATCAAGCAGGCCAACTGCCTCACTTTACAGATGGAGATACTAAGGCCAGAGTCAGAGGACTTGCCCAAAGTCCTCTGGTGACCGAATGAAAGCCAGAAGCCCGGTCCCTGACTCAACTTAATCCATTTCCCCTGTTGCTTTAGTCTTTCTATCTGGGATGCTGGCAAATGCTAAACCCTAAGGAGTTGCTGATGTTTCAGGATCAGGTACTAGGGGGAGGGGTGAGAGTCCACTTTGAACATCCCATTATAAACCAGGACACATAAACATCCCTGCCCGGTGGACAGAATGTCCAGAGGTAGTGAGGTTTTGATTCCTTGGGGAAACATCCGTCTATGCAAACCAGCGGGAAGTCAGCCTCTGAGCCATTAATCCCAGCACATCAACTGCTCTGCACATGAGACATCACACAAATATTATCTCAGCTGCAATATTTCTGATTTGAGTATTAAGAAGCAACAATGAGAAATATATCAAGTAACACTGACTTACAAAATATTAAATAAAAAATAAACTAGCAAAGCCAGAAATTTCTCAGGTTTAGATTTCCATTTACAGAGAGAACTACCCAGATGGTCACTTTGTCTTGCACACGGCGCCACCTGCCGGCACAAACTGTGCACCTGCACAGGTGGGAGAGCTGAGAAGTTGGCCATTAATGGAAAGAGCTGCTGTTTTTGCAAATGGGGAGGCAGAAAATACCACTTCATTTCCCTGCTAGAATGCTGGCCAGTGAAAAGTCAGATTACTGAGTTATGGAGAATCCAGGCGCGTGAACTGGAACTTCCAGCTACTTTACTAGTGGGTCCAAAATCTACATTCGCTCACCATCATCTGGGCGGGTATCAGTCACCTTCTCTTTTGTAGAAGATAAAAATAAATATGTCTTTAAATAACAGATAATATTAAATAGATGTGCCAGCCACCTACCCCTGCCAAAAAAAAATTCAGCAAAAATAATTTACGTAAAATTAAATTACTTAATCAAAGGCAACATATGCGTAGAAAAGCTGCAGGAATGTGTTTTTAAATATTTTCCAGAGAAAGTAAACTTTGGAACACATTATTTTCTTTCCTGCCTCTGAAACCATAGTAAAGAATTAATATGAATTCATATCGTGCACTTCAGAATTCAAAGCCAAACTGCTTTGAAAGAACTATCAGACTGAAAATTTTCGACAGGTGAAAATAAAGTCTGACCATTGATTTAATAACAACTTTCGATAAAAAGGAATGCTACACTAAACGTACACATTATTACAGCTTGCACCCCAATTTCAGAAACATTGCAACATGGAGAAGAAATAGAGCACAACACAACGCTGTCAGTGGCTGCCTCTGGGTGGTAGTATGATGAAAATTTTTCTGCCTTCTAATTTTCAGTTCTTCCATGTTTATCTACAACGAACATTACTACTTTTTTGTTTTTTTGTGAGGAAGATCAGCCCTGAGCTAACATCCATGTTAATCCTCCTCTTTTTGCTGAGGAAGACCAGCCCTGAGCTAACATCTATTGCCAATCCTCCTCCTTTGTTTTTTCCCCCAAAGCCCCAGTAGATAGTAGTATGTCATAGCTGCACATCCTTCTAGTTGCTGTATGTGGGACGCAGCCTCAGCATGGCCGGAGAAGTGGTGCATCGGTGTGCGCCCGGGATCTGAACCCGGGCCGCCAGTAGCGGAGCGCACGCACTTAACCGCGCGCACTTAACCGCTAAGCCACGGGGCCGGCCCAACATTACTACTTTATAAAGTAGCAAGAAACAAATGAAAACTTGAGAAATGGTAGAGAACTAGAGGGAGTATTACAACTGTTTGAAATTGGGTGCCATTGATTGTGAATTGCGACAACACCCTTTGATTGAAGAAGAAAGACATATCAGTTTCACTATTTACCAAAACTAATGCGCCCAAAGCCTGCAAATGGAGGCCTCCTATTAACACTGGGAAAACTGTCCCGGGGCAATCTGACAATCGCTTCCATGTTTCCTGTGCAGGACGGTGGAGAAGAGCCTTCTCTGGGCCTCAAACTTGCAAAGGTAAAATGTTCCAAGGGAGTGTTGCATGGTCTGCAGGGTCTCCTCCTGACAGTCTGTCTGTATTAGCAGACAAGGACACGACTTGTTCAAAGTCACAAAGTATGGTCACCCTCGCTCTGGAACCCTGAGCTCTGGGCCCCCACAGGCGTATGCTGGCCATGAGCAGATCATTCTTCATGCAGTGGCCTCAGGGCTAGAGAGTTTGCCAACCCTTCTTACCTTGTAAATTCATTCTGGATAGCTCGATTGAGAGAATATTCATCCCTGGAAAATTTCCCATAAATTATAAACAAATGCAGGAGCAGCATGAGGATGTACATGCTAATGTCTCTACAAGAAAAAAATTTTTAAATTAGCATCCTCACAGATCCAGCAAAACATTTTTAATGGAACTAGGCTTTTAAATCCCTGGGTGAAAATTTTTGTACATAGTGTAAGGTATGTGTGCATGTGCACATAACACCCAATTTTCCAG